TCCCTCAGGTCAGTCCCTCAGGTCAGTCCCTCAGGTCAGTCCCTCAGGTTAGTCCTTGTGTTTGGGCCCATATTTCATAGTGCTGTACTGGCTTGGATGTTTATTGTTGATTGCTTTGTGGTTGAAATGATCTGATGTCATATACTGATAGTTCCGTTTGTTATGGTTACCCTCCCGACACAACAGGTTGACATGGCAACACTGGCAGAGCAAATCATTGAGGCCACGCCTGAGCGAATCAAGCTGGAGGACTTCTCAAGGGGGGCAGAGTCACCGCTCAGAGAGAGACGGGACAACCCTGCCATACAGGACACCTGGTTGGCTACTTACCTGGACACGGTTGACACTCACACACACTCCCCACCCAGGTAAGCCCCGCCCTTAAGGATGTTGTCCAGTGAAAAAAGTGTTTCAAACATTTAAGTGTGTGTTTGTGTGTGCATGCAGACGGGTGTGCCCCCCCTCACCTCTCAGTGCACTGGCCCTCCAGAGGCTCCGCCCTCCATCCTCTGCAGCATGGGCGGAGTTCCTGAACGCCTCTGCCAATGGGAAGATGGAGAGAGACTTTGCCCTTCTGACACTGACTGACGGCGAGCAGAGGGAGCTGTACGAGGCCGCCAGGATTATCCAGAACGCCTTCAGGAGATACAAGGTCCACACATGACAACAATACACACTCACTACGTACGTCATCTTCACTGAGCTGCTGCTGACGGACAGGAAGTTCAGTCCTTTCCTTAAGGGTTCAGTGTATAGGATTTAGTGACCTCTAGTGGTGAAGTGTCATGTTGCACCCGAGATACTCAATGCAGAATCTCTCAACATCTCCTAAGCACCACCTCTTCACTAAGGCCTTTGGCCTCAGGTGATGCTCCACCCTGCTTCTAAATTCAATCCTGTTTCGTGTTACCACTTTCGTCTTTTCTCTTCTGTTTTGTACTCAGACTTATGTAAAGCGTCCTTGGGTCCAGTGAAAGGCGCTATATATATTCAAGCCATTGTTATTATTATTGTTATTATTATGGCTGCCTCTGTCGAGAGGACCCCCTCCTGATGTAAATATAAAGTATGAGTGACACTGCCACCTGGAGGCCTAACACAGCTGGTTCATGTCTTCTTCCTGCTCGTCTGTGTTCAGGGTCGGAGGTTAAAGGAACAGCAGGACATGGCTGCAGCCGTCATTCAGAGATGCTACAGGAAGTACAAACAG